GGAGGGCTGGAGTGGGGTGCGCGCGAAAAGGCACGGAGGAAGCCAAAGGGTCGAGCCGTTAATACGGGGGTGAAAATCGACACTTGACCGGCCGAAACGTAATTTCCAATTCAAAGGCAATGACCATTGGCTCGCTTCTCTCTCGGCGACTCCCTTCGCTTCCCTTCGCACGCGTCACACCCCCGCGATCAACCCTTCTCGCTCTATCTCCCTCCGGTTCTCCCTCTGTCCGGCCAACCGTCTCGTTCTATTTGCTTTAGCGGCTGCCGGTCGAGTCGACTTCGTCAACCGGACAAACGCGTATTGTGATTTCAGCCTTTGACTGGTAGCCGTTCGATGGATATCGCAGGGGGTGGCAAATGGTCGTGGACCCGTGCGGAGCGATACAGTGCGGCCGAAAGGGAGGAGCAGGAGGAGTAGGCGTCGGAGGATGAGGAGGATGCGGTGGAAATAGGGGGTCGAATTGGCGGGCACGGAGGCTGGAAGGGACGGACGAGCGAGCACCGTGAATATTCATGCCGAGAACCCTAGACGAATTCGGACTTGTTGCGACTGACACTGATGTAAACCTTTGTTTATCCTGCGTGCACCGTACCTACCCTCCGAGCCGTATCCCTTCCGCTCCGCTCGCCTCGTCCCCCGGCCCACCCCCGATCCCGGCCAGAGTATTTAACTGCGAGTTAAATTCTGATTAATCGTCGGTACCGGGGTTATTAATTGTTTGTCCTTTTGATTTTACAAGCTCACGGAGCTCACGCCTGCCGAAATCTCGTTCTCCCTGTCCCCGAGTCCCCTCGCGCCCCGCCGCGTTTCTCTCTTTCCGTCTTCTCTCGAACCGCGACTCGATCCACCGCCGCGCCCCCCCCGTTCCCGTTCTAATCCCGATGATTTGTCCCCGCTAATCCCGCCGAGCCCCGTCGCGCATCGGAAACCCGAATTCCGCCGCGAAAGTTGCCCGCGCTCGTTTGTCTTTCCGCCTCTACGGACAATTAAATCTCATAAGCCAGAAGTCGTGGAACCCCCCTGCTCACCCCAACGGGAAAAAGTCGCACGGTGATCGCGCGGATCCGACGCTTTTCGGGATTCTCGGTGTCTCTGAAACAGTGAACGCGATTCGTTCGGTAACTCGCATTTCACCCAGAGATGGAAGGGGGTGAGAAAGGGAGCGGAATCGCGGAAACCAGCGGAACGACGGATCTATCCCAGTACACCCTCCCCATGGCTCTGAAAACTCTGGCCGTAAACTAAGTAATATTAATGGTCCGGCCCGATGGCAGAAGGCGCGGTATCAATGCGCTAATGTCGGCTTCCTGCCTTTAAAACTACCCCGTCATTCCGGGATAATTCTCGCGCATTGTCGTTCGCCATCCACGCCGGTATTCCCTGCTTCCTTATCGTCCGCAGCCCGGCCAAACTTACCTCTGAAATTCTCCGCCTCCGCCACCCTCTTTCTCTCCTCTTTCGCCGAATTCACCGGCGACCCCACCGAGAGGAGACGTCATTAATTACAGCGACGACGCCGACGACGACGACGACGACGACAACGTCGACGAGGTTCTATCGTCGGGGACATCTGCTGGAAAATAATATTCATAAAGTCGAGCCCCGCCGTTACGAGCGTCGTTTTCGATCCATCTTCGCGCGCGTATTCCCACCCACCCCTACTTACTCTCTTCGATTCTCTTTACCTCTCGAGGAGAAAAGCAACGAGGTTCCCGATAATACCGAGAAGCTTCGTCGTCGCGAAATTTTCCTCACGGAAACGTCTCGTCTGCTCCGCTTTAAATCGCGAAACGCCAGAGCGCGTGTTACCTATCGTCGAGAACTCTTCGCTTCCCTCCTCCCCCC